GGAGGAGGAGGAGGAGGAGGAAAAGTGCTTTGAAACCCATAAACCGCTCTGCAAGGGGAACGGTTGGCCAGGGGAGATGGCTCAGGGAGGAGACTTCTGAGATAAGCAGTCTCCAGTTCCCCTGGGAATGAACACTTGACCTCACACCTGCTCCTGCCCTTCCCACCTGGCTTGGGCCTGGGGAAGGGGCTGAGCACTTCCCACACCTGCCCAGGTCTGCATGGTCCCACTGCCCCAGCTTCCACTCACCCGTCGGCCTCCTCAGGACGCGGCTGTGAACTGCATCTTAGGCCAGGCCCCGAGATCAGACACTGAAGGACCTTCTCAACCATCACAGCTGTGGGGACTGGGGACAGAGGGAGGTGGCAACATGGATGTGCTAGTCTTCACAAGATGGGGTYAGCCATGCTAGCGACAGTGGGATGGCTGAGGTGACCTGAGTCCCACTTCTTTCCCTGGACAGCCAGAGAAGCTGGGCGACATCTGCACCTCCCTACGCTAYGTACCCACAGCCGGGAAGCTCACTGTCTGCATCCTGGAGGCCAAGAACCTCAAGAAGATGGACGTGGGTGGCCTTTCAGGTACATGCAGAGCTTCTGGCTGCCATTGGGTGGCACCAGTGAGCCAGTCACAGCCCAGAACCCCAGGAGATGGCACACCCCAGCAAGGAGGAGGGGGTCTTTCCTTTCCTGGGACCTGGGTGTCTCCCTTCAGAGCAGGGGAGCTCTGACCCCCTGTCTGAGGTGTCCTCCCAGTGCTCCCCGGCCATGCCCTGTGGGCTACAGAGGATCAGAGAGATTTCAATGAGTTAGTGACAGGATTTTGCTTCTCCCAGGGAAGTGTAGGAAGTGGATGAGGCCTACCCAAAGTGGGCCTCTCCATCAGGCCACCCCACTGGGGACACTTCCAGGAGAGGCGGTAGGCTCTGCTGGCTCTGCCCTGGCAAGGGACTCCATGCGTACATGGAACTTACCTGGTGAGGAATGGGGCCGACACCTGAATCACCAGGTACCGGTGGTTGCAGCCCCCTGTCTCTGCCRTGCTGTGCCAGAGAATCAGCCTGTGCTGGACTCAGTCACTGAGCCAGTACGTGAYCTTTGATGGGTCATTTCCCTTCTTCAGTCTTACTTTCTCATCTGCAAGTTTGGGAAGATGGGCTTGGGCAGGATCAGGACTAGGCAGAGGTGCCCCTGCCTAGCACAGTCATCACCAGCTGAGCCCCATACTCTCTCACGAGGCCTAACTTAGAGGCAGAAATTTCCTCAATGTGATGCTCCAGGAAGCCACAAGCAACCAGTCAGAACTGGTCCTTGAGGTGAAACCTACTGCCAGCCTTGAGGATCCTCTGTGTCTTTTGGGTTTCCTGTCCTGTGCCTCAGGGCTTTCTGAGGGCCTGGTCTCAGCCGGGTGGAGATTCCCACCCCCTTATCCTCCACGGAGGCCCTGGGTACCTGGGAGGGARGATGTGGGCTAAGGGAGCCTTTTGGGTTGCATTCTCCCCACCACAGACCCCTATGTGAAGATCCACCTGATGCAGAACGGCAAGAGGCTCAAGAAGAAGAAGACAACAGTGAAGAAGAAGACCCTGAACCCCTACTTTAACGAGTCCTTCAGCTTTGAGATCCCCTTTGAGCAGATACAGGTGCGTGAGACTGAAGGATCTCAGGCGCGGAGCTGGGCCAGGAGGCAAATGAGTATGGGCAGGTGGAGGGCAGGGGACTCACCCAGGAGTTTCCTCAAACCATGGAGGAGTGTCACTCTGGTGGGGGAATGCCACATGGGGACTCTTCCCCAAGGTCTCCCTTTTGGAGGAGATGAACATGAAGTAATTAAAAACATTCTACAGATTGCTCCTTTAGAACTTGGAGGGACATGGTTGTACATATGGGCCAGGGGGTGACACCAGTGAGACTGGAAGTGACTAAGGAGGAAATAGTCTCTTTCCCTTCCATCCTCCCTTGGTCATCCCTGCCCCCATGTTCCCTGCTTCCTAAGTCTGCTCCCATCTTCCCCTCTAACCCCTTCYTCCCTCCTCTTCCCCCCCCCACTTTTCCTTTTCTTTCCCTCCCTTCCTCCCTCCTTCCCTTCTGTCCCACCAGAAAGTGCTGTACAGGGTGGAGATGAGGTTTGTTTTTCCTCCACTTCTGGGTGGGACTGGGATCTGGACTTGGTAAGGTGGGAGACACAGACCATTCTGGGCTGGAAGTCAGATGCAGGGGCTTGCAGGGGGGCGGTTCTCTTCAGGGGAGCTGTCCTTCCCCCTCTTCTCCCTCTTTGAAGGGCGAGAGTGCCAAGGGGCTCTTCAGAGTTGAAGTTGTCGGGTTTGAGGTGTCCATGATGTCATTTACGGAACCTTCAGGGGAACAGATGTGATCCCAAGAGGAATCTTCACGATGGAAAGCTTCAGATGTGAACTATCCTGGCTCAAGCATCTCAAATCCTCAAGTCCAAAGCTATCATAATGGTCTTCTCCCTCCCTGATCCCGTCCAAATCTGCTTTGTCTAAATTCTGTTTTCAACGAATGACCCCACATCTTCCCAGTGGCCCATGTCAGAGGCCTGAGCTTCATCTGAGACCCCAGTCCTTTTTCTTTTCCCATTTACTCAACATATTTCCTGAGCATTTCCTAAGTGCCAGGCACTTGCTAGTGGCTGGGGAAATAAGTGTGTAGAAGACACAGACCTGGTGTCAAGGCCCTTACAGTGGGAGGGGCCCTGCAAATGCRGTGGGATGGTGGTTTCAGTGTGCCTAAGATGTAGGGGAGACTTTGCAAAGAAAGCTTTGCCCTAAGGGTTGAGCCTGAGTTAGTAGGGAGAGAGGGGAGAAAGGCATTGACTGTCCCCTCAACAAGTCTAAATGATCACCAAGTCCTCTTGATTCTCTCCTCTAAATACCTCTCTGGTCTGGCCYTGACTTCCCATCCCCACTGTCCTGGTTCACATTCACTAATACACCCCTGCAGACCCCTAGCAATGGGTGCTCCTGCAATCAGGTCCATTCCTCCCACCTCGGGGCCAGGTTCTCCTAACAGATCCATGCCACCCCTTCTCTTATGTCTTCAGGAGCTGCCTACTGTTTATCTGACTGATAGATAAAGTGCAAACTCCTTAGCTGACCTCACTTCCTGCCCAGCTGACCTCACTTCCTGCCCAGACGACCTCACTTCCTGTGTCTCAATCTATACTTCAGTGAATCTGAACTTCTGTTTCTCAGTTACCAGTGCACTCTCCTGTCTCTGTTCCCTTTCCGAGGCTAATCTTCTTTTCTGGAACTCTTTTCCCTCTTTTCTGCCGTCTGTGAAGCCCTTCCTGTATTGACCCAAACAGGACTGTCATTTCCTCTGAGTTTCCGTTGTACCTGGTGTTCCCCTCTCTAGCATAACGTTTATTACTTTGTGTGGCAATTTTTTGATTATGTGCATGTTGATGTCATTAGAGGTAAAATTCATCTTTTCCTCCTCCCATCCCCTCTGCAAGTACTGACAGTGCCTGGAGCATTTTTTGTGGTGCACAAAATGCTGTTGGTAGCAACACAGGTTGTCCCCAAAGGTGTGACCTTTGCCTCCATGTAAATTCAATCTTATTGGGAGCCCGAGATGGAAGGCAGTAAGGAGCCCAGGGAGGCCTTTCTTCCCAATTGTTTGGAGTAAATGTTGATGGAGGGAAATTTGGACTTGGAATTCCACATCTTCATTTTCCAATGTCCTCCCTCTTTGGCTTCCCTTGCAGAAAGTCCAGGTGGTGGTCACTGTGCTGGACTATGACAAGCTGGGCAAGAATGAAGCCATCGGCAAGATCTTTGTGGGCAGCAACGCCACGGGCACAGAGCTGCGACACTGGTCTGACATGCTGGCCAACCCCCGGAGGCCCATCGCCCAGTGGCACTCACTGAAGCCGGAGGAGGAGGTGGACGCACTTCTGGGCAAGAATAAGTAGATGGCCGCGGCTGGGACCCCGTGCCCTTGATGGACACTGACAAGATCCAGAGCTATCAATACCTCAGTTATGCGACCTTAGAGGTTTTCTTCATCGTTTGTGGTTGTGTCCTTGTTTTTCCTTCCTTTTTCTCTTTTTCAAGACCAACTTTCCTTTGATGGCTGTGTGAGGAGAGTCCCCTAAGAGGTGGAAGAGAAGCCTGGCTCTGTTCGTCGTCCCAGGAGCTGCGGTCGGTCGCTGCATGCCCTGCCGGTTCCCCCTCACTCTCTCAAAGCTTTGTTCAAGCCTCACCCTGGGTGAGGCCCTCTCCTGGCGGGAAGTTGCAGCGCTTCCTGGTTTTGTGCGTTCTGGACCAACAACATGGCAGCACATCTTGCTTTGCAACAGCCAAGCAACACAGTAGCCAACGGGTGTGTGTGTGTGTATGTGTGTGTATGTGTGTGTGTGTGTGTGTGTGTGTGAGTGAGTGTGTGGGTGTCTGAGTATTTTTCTTCATTCCTGGGATGAGCCATAGACAGTGATCCTCTGTGGGAAGAGAAGGCTCTTCAGGGACATGAGGAGATGAAGAAAGTCCACTGTCTTGAGTGGAACATGGTCTACCAGATGGCGGAGAAGGCTCAGAATCCCAGTCAGAGGCCGGAAGCCTTCATACTCTTCTGGGTGGACATTTGGGAGGCAGCAAGATGTGGGGACTGGATGTGTCCAGAACTAGGACCAGACCCCTGATGCCGTCACAGACTTCCTCCTGTCAATCATGTTTCCCCAGAAGTGGGGTTTCTGGGACATTCGTGGAAATGAACTATCCCTAGATTGGTTAGACTCTTCACAGGGACCATCAGTCCCAGGATCTCACTCTTGCTGACAATGAACATTGAACTATGAAGCAACAGAAGTCCTGTTACCCTGAAAGACCAAGCTTAAGCTCCTGGATCTTTGCCCCAACCAGTGGGAAACACACTTTCTCCCTTTCCAGAGTCTCAGCAGCACGGTTCATGGGCCCTTGTTCTCCATGATGCTTTTGCTTCTGTTTCTCTTTGCGTCTAAGTGGATCAACACTGTCTGAAGACGTGTTATCTATACAGAGCCAGAGAACGTTAAAAGGAAGGCTTAAGTGTTCTTAGTTTCCCTGAGGTCCAGGTAAGAAGGGGGTCGTTAGAAGGGAAGGATGATGGACAGATGCTGGAGATTTTCTGAGACGGTACAGAGGGGAGCAGTGGGATTCCTTCCATTCCTATTCCTTGCTCCCTGGGCCCTCTGCTTTCCGTGCTTGGCTTATGGATTGCTAGAGCGGCCCAGCGAGACGTGCGAGGAGGCCTCAGCCTTCCATTCATCAGAGAGATTTTTTCTCGGTGAATGTCAAGATGTGAATGCCATTCATTTGAAATGGGTGGAGACCAACCAGTGTTTCATCAATTTTATTTTATTTTGTGGTGCTGGGGATCACACCCAGGGCCTCCTGCATGTTAGGCAAGCACTTAAGCTATATTCCCAGCCTTGTGCCAGGTTTTCTACCCCATGCCCAGTTGTGTCCCATACCTGTTCACCTTTTGTCCCTAGCATTGATAAAAAGCCATATATATGTTAGTCAGGTTTGYACTGAGTTCCCTTCCAAAACTTCAGCATGGGCAAGAGAGTCAGGCCCCCATGTGGCTAGAGGCCAGCCCTCCTCGTCTCCCTTCCTCTGATCTCTCTCTTCCATCCTTAAAGCTCTCAGGCTCTTGGTATTTCCTTACCAGAGAAAAATCACAGCTTCTCCGGGAGGCTGGGGATCACTCTCTTTCCCAGTAAAAAATGGCAGAATTTTCCTCCTGCCCCATCTGAGCCACTTCAGCTTCTGTAGGAACCTGACACAGGTAGATGGTGATGGACTGAATCAGGCTTTGAGGCCCCAGCACAGAGAAGGTGCAGAGTGTCTTTTTATTCAAAAAAGTGGGGGAGGAGGGAATTTGGTTTTGCTTGGCTTTTTTTTTTTTTTTTTTTTTTGGTTGAAGCAGGGAGTGAGGGGACACTTACAGCAGAAGCAGACCGGGAAGCAGGACTTGGCTTGCCTCTCTGAGTCCCCTCCCTTCCTACCAGTGGCCCTTGGTACATGGGAAGTTATGCATTTTATACTCGTGTGTGTGTGTGTGTGTGTGTGTGTGTGTGTGTGTGTGTGTGAACAATGAGAAGGTAGCACTCTGATGAGGATTATGAGCAGTGGTCCTTGGGACCAGAGTTGTGGTCATGGTAGAAAACTGTAGGACAATAGGGTGCCTTCAGAATCAAGTGGCCACAGAGTACCAGAGTCTTGGTGTGGACATTAGAAGTCACTGGACTCTTCTTCCCTCCCCAGAGCTGAGGCATTTTGGTGCTTTCTCAGGGTCCTTCCTCACTTACGTCCCCGCGAACCTCATTCATGGAAACCCCCTGTCAATCTCACCCCCTTGACCTTCCTTCTTCTGCCTTCTCCCAATCCACTTCCTACCACCTGGGATTCTTCTCGGCCCATGAGCTTCATTTAACCCTCCTAGCGCCTAAGATTTACCACTTCCCAAACAGAGAAGGAAAGGAAACCTCTGGTGTTTCGTGTGTGCCTGGGCCTGGAGATAGAGGCTGGACAGTTCCTACTCAGAGCCCACCTTGAGCAGAGCCTGGAGGGGACAGGCTGCTGAGGCTTCTACTGGTAGCACGGTGGGTGCTGGGAGCGTGTCCTCCCTCAGGTCCCAGCTGGTCCTGATGAGCTCCCAGAACAGGAGGGGAGGTCCACAAGCAGGTGGGACATGCTAATGCTGGAAAGTTTCTATAGCTGACGGCTGAGGAAGCCTCACCACAGAGCATCCTTCCAAACCTCGATTGCTGTGTGAATTTATTCCTGGGGATGTCAGGGTCCTGGAGTGGCAGAGCTAATCAGGACAGAGTTAGGTGTCTGACTAGTGAGGGGTTCTGGATGCTTCTGGGGCTATGAGTTTTCATTCCAAAGTCTGTTCCAGAGAGAGCAAAGTTCTTAGTCGAGAGCAGCATTTTTACAGAGGGACTGAAACTATGAAAATCCAAACTCAGAGCCACTCAGAAACTAGGACGAGGGCCAAGGCTGCTTTCTCCCTGAATCATCTATGTAGAAGGAAAACCAACTCTGCCAAAGCTACGGGCAGCTTTTTTAGATTTTGGAAGCAGAAGCTGAGGCCTGGGAGAGGCTGAGCAGGTGCTCGGGGTGAAGGAGAAACCACRGTCCTGGAGCTTCTTGGCTGGAGGTTGGATGACAGGGATCAGGCCACAGTTTCAGGTCCTGGTCTTCTTTCTTATCAAGAAACCATACATAGCGTGTGTCTCTGCAGAATCAGATTTGGGTGATTTTGCTGGCCCCAGGCTTCAGGGAGAGAAGAGGGGTGGCTGCAGGGTCTCTCGTAACTGGCCTCTATGTGATGGGGTGAGGGCAGGGTGGGTGGGAGACAGCAGAGGCTCTCCCTGGCTGCGGGAGCAAGAGATTCCTTGTTCCTTTAATGTTCTAGGCTATTCTTTGAGTCTTCAGTTCTGATCTCACCCAACCCTGTAGAGAGAGCCTGTGCACCTCAAGAGGAAGAKATGGAGCCAGTGATTGCCCTCTTACCCTCTGCCTTCGCCCTTTCCCTCCTCAGGCTGGTTGGGGCCTTTCATCAGAGCCATGGGGGGTGGCAGGCAGGGAGCCCTAAGTCCTTATCCTTGTGGCACAGAGTCCCGTGATATACAGTGCCAGATTTGGCAAGTAAAAATATAGGATGGTTGAATTCAGAATTTCACATAAACAATACAATTTTTAAGGATGTCGTAGGCAATATTTGGGACACACTGTACTTAAAAATGGTTCATCGTTTATCTGAAATTCAAATTTAACTGGCCATCCTGTACTGTGTCTGATGACCCTACCCTATGACCACATCCCTCCTCTCCTGCTCAGTCCCAGGGGGCCAGAGGTTGGTCACCACAGATTTGACCTAACCTGTTTTTTGAAATGCAATATTGAGAAGGGGACACTGTGACTTGAAGATACATGATATACTTTATTTTTTAAGCGACAACAAAACCACCTTTTGAAGCCATTTGAGCCTCATCYGACCCCTGCCATGTGCATTTAGTTATATATTAAAAGAAGATAGTTATCTATAAACATACGAACAGAATCTTGTTGAGTCAAGATGCATGTCTATAAACTTCTGTAAATAGCCGCATGGCAATGCTGAGAGTCCCCTCGGTCCCCCAACCTCAGGCCTATTTTACAGAACTGGTCAAGGCTGCTCCTTCTCTTTTCTGTTGTGTGACGTCTTTGTCCCCAGCTCCACACCTGCCCTTCCCCATTGGGAATCCCATAATGGGAGCTGTCAGGGGATGGGAACGGGTTTCCAGCCCTGGTGCCGGCCCTGTTGGAGAAGATGCTGGAGGACACCATGGCCCCGAAGGCCCCCGTCTGCGGTGCATCTATGGGCAGGGCCAAGGCACGCCGTGTCCCGCCTGCTGTCTGGTGTCCACTGTTTCTGTGTTCCGTGTCCGTGTGTGGCGTGGCTCCCTTCCTCCCGCTGTCTGAATAACTGAAAAGCCATAAACGGGGCCTTCTGCTGGAGACCGCCCTCCGCCCTCCCAGGAGCCCCCATGTCCCTCCGACAGGCTCCCCACAGAACACTTGTGAAGGGCTCACTTGTTGTCCTCCCCTCCTGCTTCCTCAGCCCCGTGTCATGAGGATGGACGGTGGCCAGGGCTTCTGGTGGGGCCTTGGGAGGTGTCCCTGGCTGGCTGTGGTCTGATGGCTCCACTCCATCTCCACCCTGACGGTGCACGGTGGGACGCCACAGTTCTGCTACTTTCCTGGGGGCCCTGCAGAGTCAACCCAGAGTTTCAKGAGCAGCCAGTCAGCAGCTCAGTCTGTGGTCGGGTTTCCATTTACGACCTGGATCCTCAACCAGCCTGGCCTACTGCCACTGAGGTGTCAGGGTCCTTAGAGGGTAATGGAGGAGGAACTCTGGGGGGAAACCTAGGGCTAGTAGTGGGTTAGGCTTTATCCCCATCTTCCTTCTGCAGCCTGAGAGAGAGCACCCCAATAGTGTGGTGGCCCTAGGGCTGCCAGGCTCCTCCAGAAGTGGTGGGTGGGTGCCGTGGTTATGGATGGCTTAGAGGACCCTCGGCAGAACAGGTGTGTCCTGGGCTCTGGCCCTCATGCTGGCTCCCCCAGCCCCCGCCAGGCACAGCAAGCAGTAGGGGCCCAAAGCCTTCCAAGGTCCCTGGTTGAAGTGCAGTCCCCAGCCTGCAGCCCCGGGCCCCCAGAGCACAGGAGGGCGGTGATGCATGTGAGTAACCCAGGAAGCCTCGGGAGAATTGCTTGAGGAGAATCAGGCGGGTTGTGTTAGACAAGGCTAGAGGTGGCAGAGTGAGCCCTGCCAGTTACAAACCACAGTACCCGGGCACACAAAAATCCCAGGGCCAGCTCTCTTGGTCCCTCCCACTTTCCACAGACAGGGAAATTGAGGCAAGATTGGAGGGAGGGTCTGTGGTGAGGGGGCAGCATCCGTGAGGGGGGCAAGGGAGCTTCTGCTGTGCCTACCTTAGCAACCCAGACTTTAGGGGGTCCTCTTTAGAGAAGCATGACCAGTATGCCCTGACCCTGCTCATCTAAGGACTTGATTGGTTGCTTTCTAAAAACCTTGGGGCCAGAAAAGTTGAAAACTAGGCCTGGGGCAGAGGGTTGCCTGACCCAGTTCACCCTGGACCATCTTGCCCCACCAGGAGCCCTCCTGCCCACACACGTGCAGCCCTCGCCGCCTGCCCCCGCTTGGCAATGCCCTCCACCCCCTCATGTGGACTCTGTTGTTCTTGTCTGATCTCTTGTCAAATTGTTATTTTGTAATGAGCTGCGTCTCCTTATTAAAGAAATGAGTTGAAAGAAACCCGGGGGTGGGGGGTGTCTGTAGTTGTTTCTACCGRCCATGGTGAGGGTGGGGGAGGCAGGAGCTGCCCCTGAAGGTCAGCACTGTGCATGAGGGTGACCAGCTGCGTCTGAGGCTCTGGCCTCTAGTCTAGTGACTCCTTTCCGGAAGCCACCCAAGGGGCCAAGTCCCATTCCCGTCTTTCGAGTGGGGGAAGACCAGATGGGCACTGTTGGTTGGTGGAGCCTGAGGCCCTCCCGGGAAAGGCTGTGGTGCTGGGATCCTCCCCTGGGAGACTGCAGAGTGCCCACATCCTGGAATTCCCCTCCAGTAGAGCCGTGCTTAGGAACAGCCAGCCGACGGACGTCTGACAAGGAGGCTGGCCCTGAAGTGGGAGGGTGAAAAGAGAATGTCTACAGATTCTTGAATTACTCCACTACAAAGAAAGAACTCCAGAAGTCTTTGACTCTAATGAGGCAAAAATGTTAGGAACTTCATTGGGGCTTCAGAGTTCTTAGAAAAGAACCCGGTGCAGTGGCGCACTCCTGTCATCCCAGTGGCTCAGAAGGCTGAGGCAGGAGGATCATTAGTTCAAAGCCAGCCACAGCAACTTAGTTAGGTCCCAAGCAACTAGTGAGACCCTCTCTCTAGATAATAGATAAAATATAAAAAAGGGCCAGGGATGTGGTAGCAAAAAAAAAAAAAAAGTTTTTAGGAAAGTGTGGGGGCAGTATTGCCCCTAGGACCAGGAAGGGGCTGGACTCCTATTTCAAGCCCTACCCTACCAGTCTCTTCACTTTGAAGACAGGCCAGACTATTTTGTTAGTTTACGCCATATGGCACTTGTCCTCTAGGGTTGCCACCTGCTCAAAAGTCAGGTCCAAATTCATGAGGGACAGCAAAGTCAAGGCCGGGATGGGGCCAACTCAGTGACGAGCAAGGGCCAGGACCCTGGCATGTCTACCCCATCTTGCTGCCTCAGTCCCCGAGGTGGGATGGGCTGGGTGGCTAGGGTGTGTGAAGGGCACTCTCAGCCCAGGACTGGGGCTCCACGCTGGACCATTTCCTGGCCGGGAGTGTGACTCCTTGCTCTCCTGCAGGGAGGCCACATACTGCAGCCCTCCCCGTGCAGCACTGGCCTCATGACTGCGAGGAGACCGTCCGTGCAGACCTCAATGGCCACTGGGGGACACAGAGAGGAAGATGACATTTGTGGTCTGGGAGCATCAGACATGCTGCTTTGCCTGTTTTGGGCCTCAGGACAGATCTGAACTCTTCAACCATGACATCATGTGTGTGTTTTCTGCTGCTGCTTGGGCTACAAACAGTTGGGTGACAGAAGGGGAAAAGAATCTTCCCTCCTTGACCTCCCTTTTAGTCAGTGAGCAGGGATTTCCGCTTGGCAGAAAACACTGGGCTTAGCAGAGCCAGAACAGAATTTACTGGATGGAGAAACCAGACCCGAACCTTGGCTGCCCAAGGGCCGACCTGGCCGGCCACCCACCCACAAACCCTGCCAGCGCCTGTGCGGCTCCTCCCTGGGCTGGGCTCTTTCATTTGGAGTTTGAGCTTAACCTCCAGTAACCCCCAAGTTAACTGCATTTGTAGTTTAGATCTAGGGAGAGGTTTGAGGTCTCCTGAATCAAACGACCCAGTGAAAACCCGTATGTGCACAGCAGAGGACTAGGTGGTGCCCAGAGACTTGCATGAGCCCAAACAAAGCCCCTCTTCTGTGGACACAGCCTGCCCAAGTATGACAGGTCAGTGTGCATGAGATGGGATCAGACCCTCGTCATGGGTGCTTTCTGCCTTTGAGGAAATAGCCCTGCTCTTGGTCACCTGAAACCCTGATGTCTTCTTACGGTTCTGCTGAACCTTCGATCTCGGCTTTTCCTGGGTCTGACACACTAAGGAAATACATTGGTGCTCTCAGAGATCTGTCCTTAGGGCTGGCCACTCACTTGTGGCTGTCCTGAGAAAAGACCTTCAAGTGGAGGGAGGTGTAGGAAGCTGGTGGGTGAGGCCCCCATGGGGAGGGGCATTGACAGATGTGACATTCTATCAGTCTCACTGCACAAAGTTAAAACACAGTTTTATTTACTCATTTATAAATACTGTTGTGTTTACAGGCATCATATAGATGTGAATATTATTATTACCAAACTTTCAAACACAGAATACTTAATGCTATATAATAACAACCAGTAAAACAAAATCATCCATATCTCAGGGTTGAAAGGCCACTCAAAATTGCATAAAAATACATTCAGTTCACAAAGCAAATCCGGCTTCCCCTCCTGAAATGGCCCCCTCCCCAGGTGTATTTACAACAGACTGAAGTTAATCCACACACCTCAGCTGAAGAACAGTTTACATCTGGTGTGGAAGTAAGGTGCGGAAGGAAGGGTGGAAAGAGTAAAGACACACGGTGCTGTCACTGAGGTGGGATCAGTGTGGAGACACCAGGGTGGTTCTTATGAGCTCTTTTCACCCCTGTCTGATCAAGGTCGGGGCAGAGGCAAGAAAAGAGGGAGAAAACCATAAAGTCAAAGCCTGAATCTGCACCACTCAATTGAGAAGAGGCCACATCTCTCCTAGAAGAGGGAGGCAAGGTGAAGCACACTCCTTCCCTCCTTGGGGAAGTCCGGCCTCTTTCAGGAACCAGCTGGGTGGTGTCCAACCTTTCGGGAGTTCAAGGGATGCTGGCTAGAAAAGGGTGTGCTTTGGATGGCTGTGTCTCCCTGAACCCTCCCGTGCCCCTGCAGCTTGCCGCCCAGTGTCCTTTTCCCCCCAATTTCTCTTCACCTGGCCCTCTGCACCAGAGGACAAGCTGAAGTCGGCTGGTCTTGGGGGAGGGACAGCAAGAGCAGGTGTACTTTGGGGGAGTCGAGCTCGTGCTGACCCTCACAAGTCCCTTGTTCAGGATTTGTGCTCTGTCCCAGGACCACACCAGAGGCTCTCACCAGGTTCCCCAGTTACATGCCTTCCCCGAATCCCCTATCCTGCAGGCAGAAGTGGGCTGAGCTGCGGCCGCCAGATGCACTGCCAGGCCCGTCCAGGTGTGCAGAGAAGACACTTTTGCCTTAAGCTGGAACCAGTCAGCTCTCTCAGGACAAAGATGGGATAAACCAGACATGCTACCTGGTCTCCTTGGCCAGGCTAGGGAGGAACCCTAAGGGTGACAAGGGGCCATTAGCACAGTCAGCAATCTTTGAAATGGGAACGGGGGTGGCAGAGGTGGCTGTTGGATGTGAAACTCCAGGAATCCTGGCTGATTAGGGAACACCTCTTTTTCTTAAGCACCATCAGGTCCATGTGAGAAAAGCAAAGAAAAAGAACATGGAGGAAGATGAAAGGGAGAGGAAGGGTGAAGTATGTTTACTGGAAGGACATAAGAGCATCCTGATGCCAACTTAAAGGCCACCCACATAAAATCTTATTGGCAGCATTAGGGGAAATTTTGGAGGAGAAATAACAAAATATCACTCTGGCAGATTCACAGTCCAAAATGATAAGCAGATGAGAGAAAAGTCCTTTGGGGAACTGGAAGGGAGGGGGAAAGGCCAAAAATATGAACTGATAGAATAATGTACTTGAATAAAATTGGTTTCTGAGTTCTCATTTCTAATCAAGAACATGCGAGACCTCATTTTGGAAGCTCTGAGCTAGCATGTACGTGTCTATGCACTCAGACTAGAAGAGGACCCTCAAATTGTCAAACCTTTGTAAGGAAGGCCAGACAGAACACGCATCAGTGCTGTGGTCTTTAGACACCCCTGCTTCTTATCAACTGTTCTTCCCCAGGAATTCTGCAGGCTTCCAGAGATTGGGTTGCAAGCCATTCCTCAGTTCAACTCTGACCCTCGACGTCCGCTCTTAAGAAGTGAGCGCATCTTCTTTCACTATGCTGCAGCTGGCTGCCAGGTCAAGAGTCTCTGCTGTTTTTTCTCAGATTTCAAAAAACACCTCATTCCTTAGTAGCTGTGGCAATGACTTCCTGGGATGTAGTGAAGTTGATCTATTTTTCCAATCTAATCAGAACATAGCGATCAATACCTGTCCCTGATAGGGTCTCCTCCTGAGCAGTGTCAATACCCATTAGGGAAGCTGATTAGAATCTCAGCTCAGCTGGAGGCTGAGGATAAAGTCACCAGCTCACGGCTCACGGCTCATTTCCACTCTGAAGCTTTGCTCCCTCCTTCCTTCCCTCCCAGTGCTTGCAACCTCTACCCTGCTCCACGTTCAAAGCCCTGCCCGTCTCTTTTCCAATGCTGCCTGGGGGCCACCTCCCCACCCAGGGTCCTTGCCCTTTCACTGGGCTCACACTAGACCCACAGGAGTCTTGCAAGAGCTGAGTGCTGCTCTGTGAAACATGGCAGTGTGGTTTGTAAACGCTTCTGACTTTGCTGGTCTCGTCTGCAGACCTGCTATAAAGGAAAGCCTGCCTTGAACAGAACCAGAACTTCCTACTTCTGAGAGACCAGAATCCAGAGGAGCTCAAAGGAACTAATATATATATATATATATATATATATATATATATTTTTTTTTTTTTTTTTTTTTACTGAGGAAAATTCCTTTGCTGTTGCAAGACAGAGTTCAAGACCAGGGACCAGCTGGTGCTAAGCAGCAATGCAATCAATTTGTCTCTCTGGGGCGAAGAGGCAGAGTAGGCCATGTCTGAGGAAGCTGAGGAAAGGTGGTTGAGGACCTGTGAAGCGGCAGCTCTCTTTCCTATTAAAACAATTTGTCTGAAGGCTGCCTACAACAAATTACTTTCTATCCATTTCCCTATGAGCTCCAATTTCCACCTCTGCAGGTTTTAATATTCTTACCAAAACATTAGGAGGGAAAGCAATTGCAGTACCACTCAATTATCCTTAATACCAAACTCGTTTTCCAGCAAGGATGAGAAGTCAGTCTTGACGTGCTGATGTTAAACAGTCTGAATTGGAACAAAACAAGAATTTTTGCTCTTGAATTTTTGAAGTTAAAAGAAAGAATTTTTGAAGCAGAAATTCCAAGTATAAGAAATGTTCTGTTCTTCCTAAGAATGAATAAATCACAGAATTTTAAGCCAAGAGAATTTAAAGGTAATCTTGCCCAAGGTCACACGGCTAATAGAAGAGCTGGCCCCAGGACTGATGTTCAGGTTCCTGGGGGTTTACCCTTTCATGTCGCCTATTCTCCCCTCACATCTGCCTCATTTACGGGGTCACAGGAATCCAAATCTTTGAGGGGGTCTGAACCTGCCTTAAAAATCAGAATGGTGAGAGATCTGGGCTTAGATTTGGGCAGGGACTACCTCTGACTGATGAGATTGTGTGCCAAGGTAAGTGCAGTGTGGGCATAAATGATGGGGTTCAGTGGCCCTGGTGGTATCCAGAAGAGAAGGACACTGGACTCCTGGTGATCCCTCACTGTTCAGCTGCAGTAGTGGCTCGCTTGCTGGGGCAGACAGGAACTCCCCCTTTCCATGGGCCTTGTTGCTGAACCTGTAGGCCTCCCTTTAAGGTGTGAAGTGGCTGGAAGCAGAATAACACAACACGTGGAACAGTCTTCTCTTCCCCAGGTGTCTGCTCACCCAGGCCCATCTCCTAAAGAGTGCCAACACTGTGGGAACCTTCTGTACAGTGGCCTGGCCAGAAACAACTGGCTTTTCTCTGAGAGGAGATGGTGTCTTTCTTTGGCTAAGAGATGCTGCAAAGTTGCCAGACATCCAGAGGCACAGCAAAGTGCATGGCTGAGGATTTCTCCTTCCTCATCTCTGAAATCAGTTAAATGCTCTTGGCGGAGAAGCAGCTGGTAGTTCACCCAGTCTTGTGTGGGATCCACAGCTATTAAGTAGGATTGTAGCCTCCTTGCTTCCTGGTAGAACTGTCAAATAAGCACATGCTTTGTTTGGGATAGGGAGAAGAGGTGAAATGTTCCAAACAGAGATATGAAACCCACCAGCGGCCTCGAGAGCATCAAATAAATGCATCTAGATCTCCTTAAACATGGAAAAGCACAGAAGAGAAATGCAAATATCCTGCAGCTGGATAGAGAGCAAGGGAGTCTCTAGGAGATAGCCAATGAGATTGGCCTAGTGGAGAATTGAGTGTTCCAAGGACACCTGGGACATGTCTGTTGTTCAGAATCGTTAGTAGCTGTACCCTGAGATATGCACAGCCTTATGCTAGAGATTAGGATGGGGCTGGAGTCATCACACCTGGGGCTTCTGAAAAGGACTGGGCTATCTGAAAAGGATCAGCAGCCTCTGAAAGACAAATAGGCAAACTTTAGCCAGAGAATCTCTGGAATCCTCAATCATTACTCCCAAAGGTGTGGCTTGGCTATTGAAAAATATCAAGTCAGTGGGAACAGAGGGTGTGAAGTTGAACTGAGAAATTCTCTTTTCCAGACAGTCTTGACAGTCTTCCTGTCAAGACTGAAGTGACAGAGCTGAGCCTCTCGCTGCTGGCCAGCCTGCTGCTACTCACTTAGCTTGAGCTGCTGGGGTGCTCATGAGTTCCCAAWCCAGCAGGCAGGGATGCGAGGGCAGTGGAGACTGAGGAGACCAATAGTAGGTAACTTGCTACTAAAAGGCCTACACCCAGCACCTCGTATGGCTTCCAGTCAATACAGCTGTGATGAAAGGACGTTTTATTCTCTATAGGAGACCAGGATTCAGAATGTTATCTAATAAAATCAATGGCATAAGAACAATTGCCTGAAATAGTGAATTCAGGAAATTGTACCTTAGTGTGAACTATGGTTCACACTTTCTGAGTTCTTGGCCATAGAATCCAGTATTCCTGAGATTAAAAAGCTTGTAAACTTTTTGACACAAGGAAAACCTCCTGGCAAGAAGAGACCTTTGACATGAAAGGCTGCTGTAGAGCAGCGGGGGAGAGACACCAATTCAAGAGTTTTGAGAACCTGCCTCCAACACTTTAAAAGGCACAAAGGGATCTGAGGGAATTCTGCAATTCCTTTACTCGGTCTAAGGAACTGAGAAGAATAACAAATGTTTCCTAATAATCTGGTTTTCTTAAGAGGCAATCAGCTCCACTTCCTCCATATCCAAGAGGCACCAGGAGAATCAATTAGCCAATCCTTGTTGATTTCTCCCCCACCCCCTGAATGAAGAATATGCTTACAGTGGAAGATATGGCCCGTCTCACTCTAATCCAGCATTCCCTGAGAATTGAGCTTACAATGCCCCCATTATAACATAAAGTCCCAAGATAGGAGCAGCTTCTCCTGGAAAAAAAAGAAAGAAAAAAAAAGAGGCAGGAACAGAAGAGAGAATCTTATATACTCTAAAAGTGAGGTTCTGCCAGAGGAGGCATGGCTACTATTCTGGAACTGTTCCTGAATTATAGATTTTGAGTAAAGAGCATGGGCATTTCAGAGGACTATCGAGAACACCATTAACACTTTCAGAAGACAATGACAGACAGAGGTAGCACAGACTGCTCTCAGCACTGAGTATCACTGGCAACCCTACAATGAGGCTCTAAGTGACCTGCACACTCAAGGTGAACCAAGGGATGCAACTCCTCCAAAAAGCAAATACTATATGCCTTAATTGTCTCATGGAGAACTAATGATTGAACTGTGCGCTGGGGTTATGGAGTACTCTGTGAAGGTCTGGGCAAGATATCTTAAAAGGCTGTTTTGTCTAAAGCAGGATGGACAAGATGACAGGTATGAAAAGCATGTCACATAAGGAGTGACTGAAAAGACTAGGGCAGTGTGGGTTTGACGTCAGGTGAAGAAGAGACCACCATCCACACGGATCTGAAGTGCTGTCACTTCAAGGAGCTATGAAGGGTAGACAAGGCCTACAGGCAGACTTCAGCTGGTCTTAGGAGAAACTCTGGTTATTAGAGTTGCTCAAACCTCAAGTAGTAAATGCACAGCCACCAGAGGCTATCTAACTATGGGTCAACGCTGTGGTAGCAGGGGTCCCTGTGACACAAAAATGGAAAGCTAGACCAAATGACCTCTGGGCCTTGCCACTCTAAAATTCCATGACCCTCATCATGCGTTGAAAGGACTTCTTCCCTTTAAACCTCATCAAGCAACCATGTCTCCTGATAACTTCTAAGAAAGCAAATATCTCTTCCCTCAATCTAACCACCAGAAACAATCCAAACCACCACTATTCTCACAGCACAGTGGAACACTGTCTTCTCTGTCGTCATGTTTCAGTGTCCTCAGATACTTTCCTTTCACCAAATACGTATTTCAACTTCCATCCTCTGCCCAGCTCCCAACAGTCTGCCCTCCCCACCTTACAGGTCTTCTTGCAATGACTTCATATCTCATTTGCAAGAGGCACCAGGTGAAGAGAGGAAAACTCCCTCATCAAAGAGAGATCAGGCAGAATGGGGTATCTACTTTTCTGATAAGGAATAAGATTTTCTAATAAGAGCTATTTTCTAATAAGGAGCCCCAATTTTCTAATAAGAAAAACCATTTTTCAGGGGAAAGATAAGTGGGAGATGTGAATAGCAGGCTGACACTTCTGCCATGGTCTCACTTTTATAGACAGGGCTCATGAAGCCACCCCAAAGCACCAGAGTCATGATTTTCTAGTCTCCAGAGTAATGATCTTCCACAATGGTCAAAACAAAACAAAACAAAACAAACAAAAAACCAAGGTCGAGTGCTCTGGAGGCAAGGGTGTAGGAGAGAAAGAACGAAAGGATAGAAGGTAGAGGAATAAGTGAGGCCAGGGCCATCAGTGCCTTGGATAAAGGTTAGGCATGAGGGAGGAAGAGGGGTTAAGACTAGTCAGGAATGGCTCTGGGTTGCTGAGGAAAAAATATAAGTCAGTTCCTGAGAGGTGAAGAACAGAGAGCTTCAGTACGGTCACTGTCCCCTGGACTCCAAAGAAACATAGCTCCAGAGGCTGATGATTAATTCCACATCCTGCCATTTCTCTTGGCACCCCAGACAGGAACCTGGAGTGGTACCACAAGACTCACTTATATTAAAGGATACTGGGTCAGCATAAAGGCTAGGCATGTCTTATGTGTTTGGACCAAATCCAATGTGGACAAAGTAGGAGAGCAGCAGGAAGCTTGGGTCCATAGCTGAGCTTGGTGTGCTCCGTGGGGCCTTTTCCAGATGGCTCCAATGATCACAATCATGCTTCAATTAAAACTGTCATAAAACTTGGGGTGAGGGTGTGGGTGTGGGAGGAACAGGGCATTGAGAGTGCAGAGAAAATGTACAGTGCAGAGGATGTGACTGAAGAGGGTCAGAGAGAAGTGTCCTTCCTTCCACCAAAACATTCACTTCTTTTGGCTGGAAGGCAATGGCTGGAAATGAGGGGCAGGGCAGCAGATGCCTTCCCACACCTGGAGCCTTGTCTATTTGGACAGTTTGCTGATCACTCTGATGAGGGCGCCATTTTCATCTTTCAGCCTCTGGTTGTCAGATTTCAGTTCTGTTAACACCTGTAGGTGACAGAGCGAAAAGTGTGTTAGAACCTGGCGCAACTGCTTCCCCTACCCTCCTGACCAGGCACGGCTGGCAGGGGAGCAGGGCCTTCTGAGAATGTGCATGTAATGAGCTGTCATCCCCCCTTCTCCCAGAAACAAAGTTCCATTGACTCTTCCTACTTACTCAGTTGGTGGTGTTCCTATTTAGAGATCGAAGCCCCTCACCTTTTGAGCTGGCAGATTAGTAACACAGGCTCACGTTCCACACTAGATATCCTTTTACTCTAGTGAGTCAATGGCTATTTTCAATTATTCCTTGAACTCACCTCTAGTCTAGATAAACTGGAGAGTGCCAAAGTAGGCTAATGAGGACATAGGGAAGGAATTCAGAAAGGAGTTGTTGGTGATCCAAAAGAGTTAAATGAGGACACTGCTTCACAGCCAGTGAAAAACAAGAATGCAGGCTGAGGGACAGAACTTGCCTTTTCTGCCATGTGCACAAGATGATTTAACGGCCCTCCTTCCACCAAATCTCAATGGTCATAATACACTTACCCACTTTCAATCACTAAAACCCAGGGAACTCACAGATGTGGTCACACAGCTGCAAGACACAGTGGACACTAGGCACACAGTGGACACTAGGCATACTCTCCACCGATAGTTATCAAGAAAAACCTAGAGGCCTTAGAGCAGTTTTAGGAGATAGTGTTATAATTCCAGGAAACAGATGCTTATAGAGAGATAGAGGCGGTGGCGATTCAATTCTATTAATTCTACTATCTTGGAAGTTTGCCCATCTTGTGGAACAAAGGAAAAAGTAAGCTCCAGCTTAGATATCCAAGTCTTTATTATGTCATCAAAGCACTTTGATAAATACRTTATGCATTAGAAACAGCCTAATGGACTGTTGATAAAGGTAGTTTTATGTGTGGGCCTCACTAATAGCAAGATTTAGGTTGGAGGGTAAGTACCTCTTTGCCAGGGAGGCTACAGAAATTGACATCTTTGCTGTCAGTGCAGATGTTGCAGGATTATCAGTCATTTAAACCTAAAGGACCCCTGTGGCAGGCAACACCCTCAGAAACAGGTGGCCTGGGCCCAGGTGTTATGAGACCTATTAGTTCTAGCGCTTGCCTCTGCTATGACCACTTAGGGATCTAACTTTCCCTCAGCTTTGCAGGGAGGCAGGCTACTTACACAAAGTCCACCTGTGCAAGAACAGACCTGTAGCATACACGCATAAACAACTAAAAAAAAAAAAAAAGACCTTGTAACGGGAACAAAAAGAAAACCCCAAGGATCTCCGAGGTGGGAGGCAGTGTGCTGTTGGGCCTCACTAGGGCCTCGTGAATCTGAGATACACTTCTATTCTTATTTCTACAAATGAGGGAACGAAGAGTTCATAACTAGACCAAGGCGTCAGGCTACTTAAGTGGCATAGCTGATATTGGTCTCAGGTGTGCCCAGCTTCAAAGACCATTCTTTCATTACAGGTGGAGGCAGGGGTGGGAAAACCCCAAACCCCAGGAACCGCCTCAGTCTGGAAACAGAGCCCAGCATAGCCTTCGCCATTAATGATCTGTATTACTTTAGGCAAACCACGTCTCTGCATTTCCATTTTTGTGTGTATAAACCATTCTACTCCCTCAGAAGGTAGGGACGTGGTGAGGCCCACAGGAGGTGAGAGTATGGGGGTGTGTGGACATCTAGAATGTGCTTTTGGATACTGAGTATTCCTGGGCCACTAGGAGTTTGCCCATGAATATGGGAGGGTGGGCAAACAGTCTATAGGCCTTACATAGATGACTTTCATTCAGAAAATGTCAAAGGAAAGTTCCAGACCTTTGACCCTGCCTTTCTTCCCTCTAACTTAACCAGGAAGGCTCTGGCTGCCTCCTCATGCCTCCATCCCTGCAGGTGTACCCATCAGAATCCAGTGCTCAGAAACTCATCTTAATCAGAGTTTCAGAAAACAGCCCAGGGTGGCCTCACAGTGTTTCACCTTCCCATCTCTTTCCTATGTCCCATCCTGTGGACTGCAGGCTGGATGAGACTATGAAAACCATATTTCCATGACAGGACTCCACAGGCGGGAAGAAGCTATACATGGCAGTGGATTACAGTTCAGTGCCTAGTGTCTCGTCCAATCAGAACTGAGTTGCCTTTTTTTTTTTTTTAATGTACAAACAATTCATTGAGCTTTGGTGATTTATTTCTACATTAAGAACTCAATTCCTTGGGAAAAAAAATTGAACAAGGCAATTTCACAGCTGCAACATGCTACAATTGATATCTTAAGGGATTGTCAAAAAGTACAAGAGGAATGTAGAAATTGAGGGGGGGGGGAAGCCTCATAAACCTCACTCTCAAAAGAGAGAAGGGGAAATGAACGTGTTATCTGATATTTTCTTGAAGTTAAAGAATGATTAAATAAGAACATATGTGAAAGCACTATATGAGAATGTTAACAAAGCTTTCTCATTTTAACTCTCTGAACCTCAGCTTCATAATTTCTTGATTTCTAGCTTACCACAGTTTGAGGTACAGAAAGTTGGACAAATAAGTACGGATTTCCTCAAATATTACTTCTTATAGCCTACTGAGAAAAGTGTTAAAGAGAAAGGGGACAGGGGGCCTGCAATTTCAGATAGCTCCAGGGCAAGGCTGGCTGAAGCCAAGAGGGTTTCAGATCAGTCTTGCCTCAATTTCTTTGTTTCCAATTACATGGGAGGTGGGAAGGGAATCCTCCCTTTTATTTTGTTAGTATTTAACTCAACTATGAGTTAAATACTTTTATTTTGTTAGTAAGTGGCTTGCACTACATGCTGAGGTAAGTTTTCTCCAGGGACTACTATTAAAAAAAACCCAACCAACCAACCAACCAGCCAAACAAACAAAGAAAAGGGCAGGGTGAAAAATCTCTCGATCACACTGCCAGTTTGGCTTAGTTATCTCATTTTTCCTTCTAGTGGGGGTCAGCAAGGTTTTTCTGTAAACATCTCAGGGTCTGCAGGCCACACAGTCTCTGTTGCTGTAGCACAAAAGCAGCCCCAGACATAATAATATTACATAAACAAAAGAGCATGGCTTGGTTCCAGTAAAACTTTATTTTTGGACATTAAAATTTGAATTCCATGTAATTGCATGTGTTATGAAATACTCTCCTTTTGATTTCTTTTTTGGCTATTGGTAGGCTCATGGGCCATAGGAGTGGGTCACAGTTTGCAATCCGTTCTATAGAAGGTCATGTACCAGGCATGGCATTCCTTACAGTAGGCAGAATCTTGGCAGGGAAATGTTCTTTGAAAGTTAACCTTTCACAGGGAAGTTGGAGTGCTGAGAAGGCAGAAGTCTGTCCCTMATCCCTCAGCTGCAGTACTGGGTACTGTAGTTGCTTAATAGATCCTTCTTACATGTTTTGGCCATATGCTTAACAAACAGCCAAAACTTTGTGCCAAATAAGCAGACAGTTCCAATCACAGAGCGAAGAACATGGACTCTGAAACCTACCRTAGGTAATGTGAATTTTGGTTCTACCACTAACTCTCTGAGCGACCTTGGACTCATAATCTGTGACTGTATTTTTTAAAAAATATGTATAATAATTCTGAGGATTCAATGAGAAAAAGCATATAAAGCACTCAGCATAAGCCCTAACTGACTTTATCATGGTTATTAACCACTGAAAGGATGAGATCTAATTTTTCCCATATCCTATACTGTCTTGCAACAAAGAGGGGGAAAATAACTGGGACATCTTTTGGGGGTCTCTACTTTGTCCCAAGTTGAATTTTCCAGGAATCTGTGTGCGCACAAGTATGTGTGCATGCACACTGGGGATTAATTGAACCTAGGGCCTTATACATACTAAGTATGTGCTTTACAACTGAGCTAAATCCCTAGTCCCTTTTCCAGGAATCTGGAGGCTAATTTTAAAGCATGGAGGTAGGCAGGCCTAACAGTGGCTGCTCACTGCCAGCCCATGGTAGCACTTCCCTTTCAATTTTCTTTCAGCCTGTGATAGCATCTGCAGCAGGATATTAGCTCAGCCCTTATGGTAATTTGGGTGCTTCAGTTCTAGTGGATATTAGTTGCCAGCTACTGACCCTGAAGGCAAAAGCAAATAGGCAGGAAAAAAAAAAAAAAAAAAAGGCCCTGGTCAGGACTAATTAGATTGTTGCTGAAAATTAAAAACTCATTTCAGGGTAGTGGTGACCCCATCACACTATCTTGGGATGAGAAAACAAGCTGTCTATGAGCTTGTCTTTCAGATCCACAGCCAGGGGAAGGCTCCAGCTTGCCAAACACATTTTTTTGTTCTCAGTTGAAAATAAATCCCTGCTCTCTGCTCCACTGMCTGTCATCTCCTTGCAAAGCCAGCCCTATTAGGGAGGGTCTTGCTATTTGAGGGTCTCATTTATATAGACTGCGTTCTGCCTCAGCCCACACTCAGGGTGGGGAGGGACACATCTCTAGGGCTCAGATTTGTGATAGGGATGAAAAATGCCTCCCAAGGAGGGAGAAGAAAGCAAAGACTATTGCAGAAGGAGGCAAAGGATGCTATTCAGTTCTGCTCTGGTGGTGGGATGCATGATGTTTTTGCTGGTAGCAGAGCTGGGCCAGAATGGCTCTAGCCATTGGTTCTAGTCCTCTCTGCCTATGCTGTCATATGCAAGGATTTAATTCTGCCTGGAATTTAAATGGCTGTGGTTCTCAACCCTAGTTGAACAAAAGAATCAACAGTAGAGCTTTGAAAAAAAAAAATACTGAAGTCTGGGTCTCAACCCAAACCATTGATTCTTTGGAGAGGGCCCAGGCACTGGCATATGGCAACAGCTTCCAGGTGGGTCTAACGTGCAGGCAGGATTGAGAGCTCTTGTCCTTTATTACCCCAGACCCAACCATTATATGGAGTCTACAACTATCCCCAATTGATGTAGGGGACCAAGTTGCAGTTGACTGGGAAAGATCTATCTCAGTTTGGGAATGACCCCACCAAAGAAATATATGTGCACGAATGTACACAGGTATAGGCATACCACACGTGTGCACATTTATGTGTAACTGAGTTAGAAAATACATATTCAGTATCTAGGAGAAGGACAAGTAATGTAGTTATCTTACTAAGTGTACGCTGGCCCATGTGAGTCTACCCACCGCCTCCCTCGACCTATGCTGTTATTTCCCATTCTAAGGTCTCAGTCCTGGCTCCCTCCACCTCCAGATGACCAAGCTTTACAGGAACCTGCACAGAGGCTCTTATGGAGGGAATAAGCACAGGGCTTCTGGAACCAACAAGAAGAGTAAACCTGCCTGGAGTAGTGGAGGAGGGAAGTGAGGTGGAGAGGAAGGGCAAGAACTAGAGCTCCTGGGTGTCCGAGGACTCGATGGACTCCGAGAGTCTGGCCACCACTCGGGTCAGGGCCCTGTTCTCAGCCTGCAGTTGCTCGTTCATCTGCTTCAAGGTTTGAATCTGTTTTAGCTGGTGGAGATTCTGCAGAGAGTGAGACACGGAGGGGAAAGACAGACAAGACAGAAAGAGACAAGACAGACCAGAGGAGAAAAAAGTAGGACAAAGAAACCATGTGACTTTTTGTTTTTGTTTTTAGTTTTCATGCTAGAAAGGAAATGAGAGAGGCAGGAGCAATGAGAGCAAGTCATGTATGTTGGTTGAGGGAGGGTGGAGAAAAGCACCAGAGAGGGGAGAGCTATGTCTGCGATTCATGGCTGAGGCCTAAGTGCGCTGATGGTTGGCCATATGGATACAACTGGACACTTGAAATGCATATCTGGATCACTTTTGAGAATGACAGTCCACCAAGTAGCTTGGGGCCTTCTGAACCAAAATCATAGGCTGAGCCACAGCCTCAGGGACCCTCCATGTCACTGTCAAACTAAGGACTTGGTGTGTTCCTAAATCCAGCTGCTGCCCTTTTCTTTCTCTCTCATTTCATCTTCTCTCCATACTTCCCATTTGTTTTCTTTCTGGATTCTTTCCTTACTTCATTTTTCTTTTTAATTTTAAAAAACAAAACAAGGAAAACAAGAGAGGGGTCTGTTATTGAACCGCTTTCTGTATATGGCATGTACTGTTTAGCAGGATGAAATGACACATAGTGAAATAATAAACAACTGTCAGCGCTCTAACCTGCTTTGGAGGAAGCTTCCTTGGCCTTCCTTGGCCTCTGCATTCTAGGATCCCAGAGCTGCTGACCTTCCTCTGACCTGATATATGATTATATGCATCACTAAGTTCATAGCTAACTGTGTTCCCTCTGTCAGAGTTAATGCTGAGGCTGGGAGCTGCTTAAAGGTGTTCACAAAAAGAGTCATACACTGGAAGTTTCTGCACATAAAAGTGGAGAAATCATAAATGTCCAAATGATAATGGAAGTGGCTGGGCCAATTCCAGCCCTTACTGTCTGTCAGTGTTGTAAATGGAATAGAACAACCAGCCCATGGGTATTTTTCTTAAAACCCTGTAAGGACTTAAAGACTTCAATAAATGAGACTATATTACGGGCCTGCCTACTCTGCTCCATGTCCTTCCTAAGTGATCATTTGCACTGACCCTGAAACTGAGGCCATCAGCTTTTGGGGAGGAGGGGAATGACTTTGTTATGCAAATGGAGTTTCATGGATGAGGACAGACAATTCTGGGTTACAAAGATGACAAAAAGATCACCAGGTATTAGAGAAATGTTTCCCACACCCACACAATGAGAAGGACAGAAATGAAAGATTAGTGGAGTAAAAGTTTGGGAGTAAAGCAGAAAATGAAAGGTAGTATGAGGGGAAAAACAGTGAAAAGGAAAAACAAGCAGAGACAAATCACTGAATATCCCTTTCCCTCCAAAGGGAGAATAACCATCTTGCAAAGAGGTAGGGTAGCCAAGCAATTCCATGGAGCCACTGGACAGGAGGGACTGGGCAACCCTCTTTGCCCACTGTAAGCATCTCAGTCATGAAGGGGACAGAGGAGGGAGATCATGGTGCAGCACATGGAAAAGTTTAAAGAGATGGGCAGGGACCAAATTTAAGAACCAATGGAAAGTCCCTGGCTCTCACCCTTCACTGGTGTTGACACTGGACCAAGCTTTCAACACAATCATTAGCATTATATGAAGTGGTCCTTGCCTCCCAGAGAATATTAAAGACATGAACTATGAAGGTGACTCAATCTAACATGTGAAAACAAGCAGACTGAAGTAGAAGAATTTGCAAGTTAGCAGCGTGAGAGAGGCAGGAAACACTGGTGGAATGTTCTACAGAAAGCGGGCTATAGAAAGCATGTTCTATAGAACATGGCAAGAAGACTGGGAAGAGTGCAGGGCATAGAGCAGAGTGGACAAGGGCACAGCTGAAGGGTGGGTCGGCGAGTGATGTTTCCAAAATAAGCAAAGTAAAAATCCCAGGACCAATCTAAAAGGAGATTGGTTGATGGGCCTCTGTCATGCAAGGATCTGGGAAAAGAAGGGCAGAAGGTCTAGCAAGGAGGCTGATGCTGAATGGAGGATGCAGTAGAAAAGTAATGAGATCAGATGAGGGAACATCCCAGGACCAAGTGCAAGTCTAGCACAGCTTACACTGACATACACGTCTGTCAGAAGCTGGCCTGTAATCCTGCTCCAGCCCAGGATCTGGGTGGGGTTTCTCCTGGGGAGAATTTATGAATACTTACCTTTCTAGGTAAAGGCCAGAGGGGCACAACCCAACTCACAACTACAGAGCCCACATACATCTGGGTGAGCCAATCTCATGGTTCCCCATTTCACCTGGCCTTTGTATTTTACTTGCTAGAGTCAGAAAAATAGGCACCAAAATTACTCTGTGTCCTTGAACACTTCCTCTTTAAAGGTTCACTGGAGGTCATGGGAGCATAAACTGCTCCCTACTGATTGCACCAGGGAGATTTGAGCATCTGTACAAATATGCAAAAATATGGAGACCAACAGGTCCAGCCTCTACTGGGTCCCACAAGATGGTTGCATGCACTGTTGGCTGGCTACCTAATACACACAAATTTTGTCCACTAACTACTCTAGAAAAGTTGGTCACAATGAAAAATAGCCTGAATAGAGAACTTGGAGCTGAACAAGGATTTTCTTTGATTCCTACAGAGCAGTGATATTAATTGGATAACTTGTATATTTGAAGTTTTTGTTTTCAAAGAAAGTATAGACACCAATGCAATGTTGGTGTGACTGGAGGCTCTGATGTTCCTCCCCCTTAGTCCTCTAGGGGGAGCTGGACAGTTTGTAGATCTGGTAGTACTATATGATTTGAGCAATCTGTTTAAGGGCTTTAGAGCCTATAGGCATTTATTCTCCCACAACTTTGTAATTAGGAATGGAGAAAAAAAGGCAATGACTGTGGGGGTATATTTTTAACTAAAAAAATAAAAAATAAAAAAAAAAATAAAAACCAGTCTTAAAACAGCTTATCTACTGGTTTGGGGGCCAAAACCATCATGATCTGGCTCCAGTTGATAATGTAAACAAATTGATTTTAAAGTTGTTGGCAAATGGCTTCTAACTAGAGAGAGCAAACACGTTCATGTACAATAAACTCTATTGAGAAAAGAAAAGAACTCATGACTTACTTTAGGAAATCATGGTCTGACAGGATAAAGAGAGAGAGAAACATGTAAACTTGTCTCAACCACAGGATCGAGAGCAACTAGAACACAGGAGGACTTCTGTATTCTGCATTTTAGAATGGGAACAGAAATAGGAAATGATCTCAAGTTCTCCACTTTTGGCCACTTTCTGGGTCTTTGTGTGGGGTCCTGTGTGGAGACAACTCAAGAGTTTCAGGACTGGTGGGTATAGGTTGGTTCTGGACTCCTCAGTACTTGCTGGGAGGCACCAGTTTTGGCTTCATTTACATGAGGATCCACATTTTGGTCCTTCCTTCCTTCCTTTTTCTTTTAGCCATTTCTTAATGAGCATCACTGACAGGACAGCTACCGAATAGCAAAGTACAAATGGTATAACTCAAGGGTTTCGAAGATGGAATAGTCGCCATGCAACCAAGAGATGCTGATCCATCCATCTGGGACTATTTACAATGCTCACATGCCACGCTAAGAGGGCGAGAATAGTTCTGAATGTAAGTGAGATGGGTTTAGAAAAACCAGAAGATGAAGAGGTTTAACAGTGGTAGGGTATCGTCCTATCATCTCAGGAAAATCAACCATATATTATAAAGAATAACAGCTGGATGCAATATAAAAAAGCACATGCCTATAATCCCAGCAACTTGGGAGGCTGAGAAAGGAGGATCACAAATTCAAGGCAAACCTGGGCAACTACAACTTAGAAATATCCCATCTCAAAATGTAAAAAAATAAAAGAGAGTTGGGGATGTAGCACCCCTGGGTTCAATCCCAGTAATAGTGCCAAAAAAAAAAAAAAAAAAAAAAAAAAAGCAATAGGATCTTATGAAAACTATGACCTTGTCATGTCCTGAAAGCCCCCCACACCCCCCAAATTAAACATAAGCCTTTGGAATAATAAATGTGTCTCTCAAGGTGCTGTAACTGTATATTAGGGATACCTACTATTCACAGAAAGAAATTTAGGGATATGCCTGAAACTGAATTAGTATTCTTGTTTCCTAGCTGATGAAACCTGGGTCTCACCCAATGAACACTTGGCAGCAGCACAATAAGATCCTTGAAGAAAGAAAAGAAGCTTAGCAAGCACTAGGTGATTGTGGCCATGTGGCATCAAGGCCACTGTGGGGATGGGATGCAACACAATCATATCCAGGTGGCTACCCTGAGCAGCTTTGTATCTTCCCCTTCCATAGTAGTGAGTTGATTCCTTTCAAAATATTACCAAATCTTAGCATTCAAAGCTGCAAAGAATGGCAACTGTTCAGTAAAGTGCCCAGTGGAGGCTATATCACTTCAGGTCATGGTGAAGGTTGAGAGGAAAACAGCAAGCCTGAAGTATATCTGGTCGCATGAGCTTATTCTAGTGGGACAGTGCCAAGCACACTGGAACACYGCAGAGGAAATGGACTGGGGAAGGAAATCAATATGTGAATAAATTTTTACTCTGCTACAGAATGACTCAATCTGTGTTCTTTCCTGCAAAGGGCTGGGTTAGGGAGGCGCAGCAGGGAGGAAAGCCTGTGGACATGCGCAGGCTTCACTGAACACCTAATGGGAAGCTCTGCAGAGTTGGAAACGTGTGTACTAGTCTTTTTATTTAGCCTTTCAAGGGTGAAGCCATTACTCAGAAAACCTTACATGTTCAACTTGGGTTTACCTCCAGTCTTCTAGAGACCTCCCTTTAAACTGGGGGCAATATGTGGACATCGAGGTGACCACAGTAGATTCTATGTGAGCTGAGAGTGCCTGGGAAACCTCCTCTTCACATATCATCTCTTCCTGGGAGTGTGGAGTTTGTGGTGAATTTCAGAGAGGGCAGGCCTATGCTTAAGTATCCAGTCTTGGCAGGCATTTAGAGAACAGGCATACAAAGAGAGAAAAAAATCTCTTCATACCTTCATCTCTTCTTCCATTTCTGACATTTTCCGCTCCAAGGCTCGTCTCTCCTGTTTAGAAACAAGGAGCCTGTTGAACATGTAATGGACCTACAGGCAGCCACGACACACCTCCCAGCTGCTATGGGATCAGCAGCTTCATGGTAAAGGGTCTGTCTACTGACTCAGACAAACCTTACCCAGATGTGAGYGCTCCTTCATCCTGTACCTGTGGAATGAGTTACTTCACTGATAAGAATCCCAGGATCTCTAAGCAACTAAGTGAGACCCTATCTCTGAATAAAATGCAAAATAGGGTTGGGGATGTGGCTCAGTGGTTGAGTGCTCCTGGGTTCAATCCCCGGTTACCCCCCCACCTCAAAATCCCAGGATCTAATTCTTCTTGCAAAACATCAGAAGACATAGAGGGAAGCAACTTGCTTACAGATGATCAGACCAGGGCACTCTGAGTTATTCTCTGCAAGTTGGAAGGTTTCATGGACTTTCAAATGACTGCAAGTAGCCAGAATCCTTGCTTTCTATTAACAAAAATCCACCATTATCCTCAGTAATATCCCAAGCCCCCCAAACAAAATCTTAGGGAACTGCTTCTCTCATGACAGGGAGATGGTTTGCAAGGAAGTAGACATCACTGTCTAGTAAGAAACAGCATCCCTACTCCAAGTTCCTGTCTCCCTCCATTTCTTTCTCCCAGCAACTAACTCTTATTTTAGCCTGAATGCAACAGAGAGTCCTTGATCAGATGAGATACCAAGGAGGTTTGGCTATAGGCCAAGGAAATGAAATATAAAACTTAGCTGCTTTCCAAATTAAACATACAATAAAAGGAGAGATGGGAACATATTATATCCCTAGGGTCAAATCTAAACTAGAGCTCATCAATAACTCTAATTGAGTTTTCCCAATCCAAGAATGTCAAATCCCAGAAAAATAGCTGAGTGCAGTTGGAAGGAGGTCAGCAATTGAACCAGAGAGTGGGATTCTGATAGTTCATGTCTCAAGTCAAATGAATTAAATCAATGGCAGAGGGTCCTGTTAAAAACTTTTCTTTTTAAAGTGATGAGAAGGGCAAAGAGCCCTTGTATACGTATGTGTGTATGTGTACGTGCGCACGCACGCTTACGATGATTTACAGTAAACCAAAATATATTATGGCTATGTGTATGTGTGTAGTTGTGCCTATTGGCAGAACTACAACAAGATGACCTTCCAAGAACCCTTCCCACCCTAAGACTGGAATGTGTACAAAGTACTGAGGAAGCCAAAAGGACTAGCAATCAAATTACTGTCCAGAATCAGACAAAAAGAATTTCTCATCAGGCTGGGAATGGAATGTGGCAGAGTTCCTACCTTCTTAAGATGAACTTTTTCCACTGGCATAAACAACAAAGTTAGGGAAAGTCAGAGAGAGAGATGAAACGGGAAAAAGAGACATGCACGTACCCGTTTCTCCATTTCTAGCATTGATGATCTGTCAGAGGTCTTTTCTTGTTTCTGCTGAGCAGATGGAAAGAAAACACTTGTTACTTCAGTTCTTTTGCCAGGGGAAACCCAGTCTCGTTCATCTTCACCACTGGACACTCAGAAGTAGATGGCCAGGCTTTGGGCTTTCACTTTAGCAAGTGTCCCAACAAATAAATTCTGATAGATCACTAAGCCTAACATTATTTTGTCTCTGAAGTTTGCAGGATTCCCACTGATTGGGGAGGTGGATAAGGCATTATGACACTCCAGAAGTCACATGTGCTGGGTGTGGAGGCACATTCCTATAATCCCAGCAGCTTGGGAGGCTGAGGCAGGAGGATTGCAAGTTTGAGGCCAGCCTTAGTAATCTATCAAGGTCCTAAGCAACTTACTAAGACTCTGCCTTAAAATAAAACATAAAAAGGGCTGGGGATGTAGCTCAGTGGTAAAATACCTCTGGGTTAAATCCCTAGTATCAAAAATCAATCAATCAATCAATCAATCGTACAAAGACATTAATCAACACTTACCCAACTCCCTCTCCCAGTTCTCTTTCTCTCTGTCTCCAGGGCCAACTATCTTCTTATGTTGTACTATCCCTCTCCCTTCTTTTCTATGAGTAATATCATAATCCAGAGGAAATGAGAAATGGGTTTTCTACTTTCAAAGGCTGGAGATCCTTGAACTTGAAGGCCCCATGGCTCTCCTCTAAACAATCCCTTCTCCCATTCCTTCTGTCTCACAGGCACTAAGGCCATTTTCCTTACAGAGCACTGGTCTCTGTGTGTGCTTACACTTCTTGGGAGCCCTGCTTTGAACACAGCACTTCCATTTTTATCTGTTGCATACCCTGGACTTTCAGTTAATATTTTATCTGCATAAAGGATTTAGAATGTATACATCAGACACTAGAAAGGCAATTTGTCAATCAATGGAAGGGTAACTGATGTGATTCAGCAATCTGTATATGGGGTATAATTGGGAGTTCATAACCCACTTGAATCAAATTGTGAAATATGATGTATTAAGAACTATGTAATGTTTTGAACGACCAACAATAAAAAAAAAAAAAAAAAAAAGAAGGCACTGAAAACACACACACACACACACACACAAAAGAATGTATATTTTAGATCACCATTGACTTTTAAGTTACAGTTTTTAGAAGGGTTAAAAAGATGTGGCTACATACCCAAAATGTAGAATAAACTCAGATAATAATCCTGCCTTATATAAGGGAGTAAAAAGGAACCCTTAAGTCCCTTTTGGTCTTAGCATTACAGAACAGGGAAGAATTTCTTACATTCTATAGACATTTAATAAGTAAAGGTGATTATTTTTATTTTGCCTTGTGCCAGGCTCAGACAACAGTCAATAAGTATAGAAATTATGCTGGTTTTCTGGCAGAGGTTACCCTTTCCTCCCAAAATTAAGGAATAGCCAGAACTAACATTAATCCTCGGAATCCGGCTCCTGACCTGGGCTTTCACCTTCTGCTCTGAAGGTCATGGCTATGTGCCTTAATATTCCATCTATAGTAGGAAGGGTGCAGAAGGAAAAGAGAAGTTGAAACTGGGATTTGTGCAGATCCTCTTTAAGTCTCCCTTTCCTAAGCCTGAGAAACTATGTTTAAATTCATGTATACAAAGAACTAGTTTTTTTATTTGCTTGTTTTGTTTTAAATGTTAAGCCTGATAGAGTTTAGGTGAACCTTCCATGTAAAAACACTGTGCGTGTCCATGTGGTAACTGTCTCCATGTAAATGTATGAGACTGACAGGCTCCCGTCCACTGTCCTACCAAACAACTCCATTTTTGGTAAACAGAGAAAGAGTTTGTAGTGCCACCATTTCTTCTGAATTTCAATAACTTATATTTGGCAAAACTAAGTATATTTTGACACACCCAGCAAAGCAGTTGGCTGGAGGGTAAATGCTATTCCCCAGTGACTAGGAAAGGCTGATTTTATTTTTAATGTCCATGCATGTCAGTGTCCACAGCTTGCTAGGCTGCTCATTGCTATGAAGCGAAGGCTGGGGGATAGGCTGTGAACCCCACCCAATAACTAACTGCCAGAAGCTAGGTTTTTCCTGTGGTTCTTCACAGTCCTGACTGCTCCTTATTTTTCTATAAAATATAGCCCAGTAATAACTGACAARAACCAGATCTGTATTTATCGACAGATGCCAATACTTGGCACAATTCAGAATAAAAATTGGACCAGACATCTCCTAAGGATCTATTATAAATTAGATGTTTGACTGGCTCAGTAGTACTGAGATGAAGAGATATCTTAAGGCTTACCCTGCCTTGGGGAGGGTTGTAACTGTGTATATTTGTATTTTTTTTTCCTCTTAAATTGACAGAGGCCCCTCTCAGGACAGGCCAACTATTTTGAGCCTGGCTAAGCCCTTTTCTGGTCAGTGTGGCTGTCCTAGCTGTCTTGCTGGGATCCCACACAGTTTTGTGGCACTATCTTCTACATGCTGGTGCCCCTTGCTCATCCCATGTCAGAGGGATGCTGTTCAGAGGGTATTTGACTACCCCGGTCCCCACCCATCCCCACAGTTTAGTACTATTCAACTCTATATTTTAGTCTTACTTTTGGATCGTATCAAATTACCAGATTGACTAGCCACCTCTGGTTTTCATTTCACGCTCTCCTTGTAAAGAGTCATTTTTACCTCAGATCGGCTTTTCAAATTCTTAGTCCCTAGGCATCTGGGGTCTAAAACTCAATAGGTTTCCAGTTAACTCTGCAGTAACCTAAGACAATACTTGCTCTAGCTCTCAGCTGCAGGGTTTATTTCACTAGTGATGAGGTCATTACCTCTACCACCCTCTAATGCATCATCTAATAAAATCAGGCCCAGCAGTGAGAGGAAATGGATATCCTTGCCTTCCCGCCTACCAGCTCTTTATTTCTAGCTGAAGAAGGGAGTAGCTGGGGAGACAGGAAGGAATCGTTAGTTGCAGTATGGAATCTTTACATCAAGACCTAATCCCGGGTTCCAGCAGCTCTTCTTCCCCTGATGTGCTACATAACCTAAGCAAGCCACTCTTGTTTCTAGGCCCAATTTGCTACCTTTCTGTACTCGGGTATAGTGTCTTGCAGATCCCTCTTCAAATGGTGATGTGCATATGAGCTGCACTGAAACACGAGGAACAAGTCAGAAGAAGCTGTCTAGGACTGATTGTGCTGTGCTAGTTTATGCTTTTCTACTGAGAACTAATTAGATAATATTAATTAATTATTAGCATTTAGACCATCAGAAGTTGTTCACTAAACTATCAGTTTTCAATTTTAGGTTAAACACTGACTGAATCCTAAATTCAAATTAGAATCCAAGGGAACTCCATTTCACTGCCTCTGATGAGGCCTGATTTTGACTCCATCTCATGTCCTGCCCCTTAGATCCCTAGTCCAGGTTGTCTGCTGATATCAACCCCTGTCTCCCCATCTTCTTTATTCTTTCCTCTCCTTACCTGGGCCATCTTCTCAAGCTTGGATTTTATATCTGCTAGCTCTAGCTGGGCCTCCTGAAGTTTGGTTTTCAGTTTTTGGTTTTCAGTCAGGGCACTCTCGTAGAGCTGGGGAGGGGGAAGCAGAGTCAGGTCACTAGGGTGGGGCTTCCCAGAATCAAAACCCACACAGTTTGATCACATGAGAATGTCTGGGGCTCTCTGCTCCAAGCCAAGACAGTACCCTAGGGGCAGAAGACAACTAAGTGTGGGGATCAGGGCACATTCACAGCCACTGCTCTCTGGCTTCTTGAAGGTGATGATCTCACATGCAGAACACAGAGAATGATGCTCTAATTTCAATAATGTTAATCTTGGGGGGAAAAACCCCAGTCATCCACTTTCTCCTATGTAGTACTGACATTGCTTAAAAGTGTGGCTTCTCATACCAAAGAGATTAGTTTTGTAACTGGCCTAGGGTGATTTTTGTCAAGTTCTACTTAATAAAAAACATCAACAAAGAAGAATTTCTTTAACCAAAATGTTTTTTCCTGGTACCTCAAGTGCTTGAAAGGGAAAGTTTTCAAAGCCTACTTCTGGAGCTAGATAGCAAGACAAAAGGAAATGGACTATAAAGTGATTCGAATCCTTTCCAAGCCCAGACAATGATGATAATGATGAGGGTTTTTTAAAAAAAACTAACATCAAGAAGTATTTAGCTGATATTCATAGGATCTTATTAAAAGCACATGTTTATTAAAAATAAGTCCACCACATGAGTCTCAGGTTTAGACAGAACTATAATTTTTTATTCTTACAATTCTTATTTTCTTACTTTTCCCCATATATGTAAATATCTGACTCTAGGCAAAAACTTACTGCAATAAAAAGAATTTAAGGGTCTTTATTTAGCTGGTGGAGAGGTAAAGCAAACAAAGAAGACTGTAAGCAAGGAGTTGTTACTTAAGTGTCCTTTTCCCTGCTTACTCACGCTCCTTTTTCTATCCTGGGGGAAAAGGCTATTTATATGTTGTAACCCAAGAACAGGAAAATTGAAAAACGACCTTACTTTTTTATAATCCCTGTTGCTGTCCTCTTCCACACGGCTGGTCAGGCTGGCTAGACGAGCCTCCCGGGCTTCCCGACGGGCTCTTGCTGAGGCTCCATAAGAATCACTGGTTGTAGGGTTACCACCTCCTGATTCCAACCTGTGAGATGTAATGTGAATGGTAAAAAGTACTTTTGAGAACAAAGTAGTGAGGGGAAGATAGAGTTCAGGAGTAGTCTGTACTTTTTCTAAGATATTTGTGAGGGGAGGCCAAAAACGATGCATGACATTCCTTCCTTGAATCTCTCAGAGAGCATTCCTGGATCTCATGGCTACACTGTATCCGTGTGGAGCTTAAGGAGGGAAGCTGTCATTTGCCAAGAATGGAGCTTACTTGAAAAACTGGTGGTTTGGACACATGTGCTGACTTAAATCTTGGAGCTTTTCAATTAGTTTGGGGTTGAACAGCTTCCCTGAAAAGTGTGCTTTTAAAAAGCAAAAGTTTCTTGGATCTCAATGGCTCTTGGAAAATGATTACAATTAACTGTCGTTGAATCAGAAACATGTGGAGACTGAGCTGGAGGCTGAATGGAGGAGGATGGCCTGCAGGGCATGATACCTCTACTTCATCAGTGCACTGAGATTGGCTGGAATCCCAAACATTCCAGGGTGCTACAAAACGCCCAAACAGCTACTTTCCGACCCTCTTTTCTGTATTCTATATCAATACTTATATCTATAACCAAGATTCTTATACCTTCCAGAAACTGAACTTCCAAGAGTGGTTTTATTTCCAGTATTGGTAAGTTCATTAGAGGAAGTCAGCTAATTATGGTTAAAGTGTATAATTATTGAACTGATCCTAAATACTGGTTTATATTTTCCTGAACTTTGCTTTTTGCAAACTAGAATGTGTCACACACGAAAGTGCTCTGGACAAAGCAGCCCTGCAGAGCTCTACGGCCCTGAATTGGGACGGTTKGAAGCTTCACAGCTGTGGGACTTGCATCTGATGTTTCTGTGGTACCTACTGTCAAATCTAGGGAGGGGGTAGCTGAAATAAGCATTAAGTATTAGAAAAGGCAGAAAAGCAATAAGGTTGAGGACAGAGAGGGGAGAGGCGAAGTAATTAGCTCCTAAGGACAATAATGGTCACTTTTCTTTATAACATTCTTTTTATTTCTTTTGTTAATAGAAATCTTTGTATTGACTTCTTTTTACTATAAAAGCAATACATTAAAAGTAATACCAAAAAAATAAAAAAAAAAGTAATACCAAAGGGGGCTGGGGTTGTGGCTCAGCAGCAGAGCACTTTTCTAGCACTGGTGAGTAAGGCCCTGGGTTCGATCCTCAGCACCACATAGAAAACAACATCTGAGATAAAGGTTAAATTCTTTAAAAAAAAATTTAAAAATTAAAAAAAAATAATACCAAAGTATCTACCCCATAATTTTGCCCAAGGAATATAACCACTATTAACAGTCTAGTTCATCTCCTTGCAGGATGTCAACACAAAAATATGTTAAAATATATATTTCTGTAAATAAAATTAGATACTGCCTATTGTCTAATTCCTCTTCCTTCCTACACTTATTATTATGATTGTGGGCATCAGCTAAGTAAAAATAAATTTGTTTCTCATAAAAATGACTGCACAGTCCTTTCCATGGTTTTTGGATAATTTAATTAATCTTTAATTGATAGCCACATATTATTTGTTCTGGCCCAGACTGGCCTCAAAGTTGTGATCCTCTGGCCTCAGTCTCTTGAGGAATTGATTTTAATATTCGGGGGGTTCAATATTTTTGGTTATTCATCTTCTTCGTTTTGGCATTACCCACTTTGTGGCCTTTATTTAGCAGAATCTTCATCATCTTCTTGTTATTGGTGGAGCCTCCAACATGGTAGGGTTTTTACAACTAACATAGCTTAAATTTTTTTTTTCCTATTTTGCTTTTTGTTTCTATAGTATCTTTTACTGCAGAGATTTAAAATTTTACGTGATTAGATTTGCCGATTTTTACTTTTATCATATAATGTTTAGGAAGGTCTTTCCTATATAAAATTATAAAATATTTTACTTTTTTTGTTGGAAAGCTTTTTTCTCTAAAAAAATTATAACCCATCTGAAATTGCCTTTTTGGGGTGGCATGAAAGATACAGTTCCCAAATAGTCAATTATCTCAATGATCACTTAATGAATAATTGTTTCCCCAATGAGATGAAAAGCCACCTCATACACATGACTTTGTGGGGATTATAGATTGTGTTCCATCATATCTTTGTTTATTTTTAGACCGGTACCTCACTGTTTCAATCATTGCAATTTCATAGCATACTTTAAATCTATAAGCAAAGTCTCCTTTCATGAATGGCTATTAATAACACAACAGAGTTCATAAAAGATTAACTATAACAAAATACCACGACAAAATGCCACTCTACCAATTCTGTAAAGCTGAGTAAGCTTCTGCTAGGTTAGAAGTAAATTACTTATCCTTGGCTGGTGCTGGTGAGAGGGCGAGCAAAAAAAAGAATACACGTAAAACTTAGCACACATTAAGGGAGAACCAGCTCCATCACCAAGCAAATTATGAGAAGACTCATTTGCCCTGTGTTGTCTCATATCTACATCTTCCCCCAGTCTCTTCTTAATTTCTCCATCAGAGGAATAGTGGAAAGGAGAGATTCAAATGTGTATCTCCATAATTGCTATTATTTTCTTCTTCCAAAAGATCAGTTTTTGGTTTATTATAATTTTTTTGGTGCTGGGGATTAAACCCAGGAGCACTTTACCACTGATCTACATTTTTAGTCCTTTACAGGCATACAACTTTGCACCTGGCTAGCAAGATCAGTTTTTATAACCTTCTTATTAATTGAAAAATTTCAGAGGATCATCCTCTAAATGGATACCTTCCCTTAATGTTTCTGCAACTGCAAAACAGGTCTTTAGTTAATTTGACAAACTGCTGCTGAGCACCATTTAGATACAAGGGATAAAGCTGGACTCACTGTTAGTGACGGCATCTAGCCTCAATCTCCGTTCAGGTTTCCACTATGCAATGAAGCCTTCCCTACACCACCAGATTAAGTTAACTGCCTCTTTTTTTTTTTTTTTTTACTCTCACATTTCCTGACCATACTTCTAAATGGCATTTTCTACATTCTATTGAAATCATCTGTCTCTCCAGTGGTTTGTAAGCTAATTGTGGGTAAGGATATTGTCTTATTTGTATTGTTTCCCTACTGCCTAGCACAGTGCCTGGTACAGGCGCTTTAGGAAATTAATCTAGTGGTAGTACACAAGGTGAACTAGAAAAAGGAGACTGGTGGCAGGAAGGCGAACTGAAAGCTGTTCTATTACTTTGGCAGGAAATAATAAACGTTAGAAATTATTGTGGTGGATGTGGAAATGAAAAGGAAGAAAATGATGTGGGGAAATTACTAAACCACTATATAAATCTAAATTTAATTAGACATATATTTACTCATAATTATTAAACATGCATATAAAACAGAGAGGGTTCTTACCTAGAAAGTCTTTCATGCTAGAGAAAGGAAACAAAAACAAAAACAATTAAAAAAAAAGGAAAAAAGAAAACAGCATTAGCAAGGGGAGTTATTTTTATTTCCATTTATAAATGCATTTTTTCAAATCAGATGTCTCAAACTTCACAGCTGGAGATAGGGTTGCAATTTAAGAAAAGCAATTCAACCAACTGCACAAAAGGCTACTTAGCTCAAGCTCACATTTGGTATTCCATGACTCAGCAGACCTGAGGCTTAGGGATATAGCATCTTTTTTTTCTTTTCAGGGCTAGGGTTGATCCCAGGGGTACTCTATCACTGAGCTATTTGTTTTTATTTCATTCTGAGACAGCATCTCACTAAATTGCCCAGTTTGGCCTCAAACCTGTGATTTTCCCACCTCAGTCTTCTCAAGTTGCTGAGATTATGGGCATGGGCCACTGCTCTCAGCAGGGACATAGTATCTTTTAAAACTAGAAGTCAGCAAAATGTAAAATGATCAAAAATTGACACCCCCTCCCCTCCAATAAGCCAGCCAACCAGTGTTTTAGGAGTGGATATCACTGATTTTCTGTGTGACATTTTTGATCATTTCTAATCTCAATATTCAGACTGTTAATTTCTTTCAGTTCACAGACCCCCAAACCTTCCCAGAATAAATTTATAAATGTTAAACTTGGGACAGTTTTCTGGTTTTCACCTAGATCTATAGTGAAGGTAGATAAGTGAGAAAATCAGAAAGGGAAGAAGAGTTCCATCCTTAGTCTCTAGAATGCTGATTAAAAAAAAAAAAAAAGAAAGTAAGTACTTTGAGGTCTCAGAAGGAAGGAATTTAATATGTAAACTATGATCTTGGTCACTGTAAATAAACCAACAAAAAGTGACTATGTCTATGTTTCCCATTTATTTATTTATTTTTATCATAGATGGCCTTTCCCCTCCTATCCCTTCACTTTTTTTTTTTAAAGAACTCACGCAAATAAATACTTACTTGATTTGAATGTATTTATTTATTTCCTCTTTTGAGGTGTTAAGGAATAACAAAAACTCCCAGGACAGATAAAAGAAGAAAGAAGAGATGCAGAAATGTGACAAAAATGTCACAAAACTAATAATAAATCCTTGAACTACTGAAGAGTTACTCAGTGGCACTGATTTGGAGATGGACACAATACCTTTATTTTATTTATTTATTTTATGTGGTGCTGAGGATTGAACCTAGTGCCTCACATGTGTGAGGCAAGCACTCCAGCACTGAGCCATAACCCCAGCCCCTTGTACACGTTTTCATCCTAATATAAATCTTGGAGATTCTCTTTTAGTAGGTTTGGAGTGGAATCTTCCTATCCCCCCAACACCATATTGGGAATTGAATCCAGTGCCTCATGTGTGCTGGGCAAGCACTCTACCACTGAAAAGACCTCCTTAAAATTTTATTTTGAGATAGGGTCTAAGTTTCCAAGATGGCCTCAAACCTGCAATCCTTCTGAGTAGCTGGAATTATAGGCATGTACAATCATGCCTGATGCCCTGGTCTGAACATATGTTTGTTTGTTTATTTTTTTAAGGTGGAGACATGTCCCATTTGAGATGAGGAAATCATTTAAAAAAAAAAGTATATAGTATATATTTAATGTCCTCATACACTTGGAGTTCTTGGAGAATCCTGAAATTTAGAAATCTGGAATTCCTGACACTTTTCCTCTCCTGTAATTATACATTTGTACCTGATCTTCAGGGAGAGTCATATCCCATACACTCAATGCATATCCCACACTACCAATGACTATTTTTTTTGTCAACATTATCCAAAGTTTTTTTCCTCTTACTTGAAGGCTCCCCTCCCCAAAGAGGCAGCTATTTTTTTCCTTTTTTTTTTTTTTTTGGTGGCGCTAGGGATCAAACCCAAGGCCTCATCCACATTACGCAAGTGCTATATTACCGAGTTACATCCCCAGTCCTAAAAGAAACTAAATTTTAATTATTTCTCAAGAATTACTTTATATATAAGCTGAGCATGGTGGTGCATGCCTGTAATCCCAGCTACTCAGAAGGCTTAGGCAGAAAGGAAGATTACAAGTTCCAGGCTGGACTGGGCAACTTTAGCAAGATTCTGTCTCAAAAAATAAAAAGGGCTGAAGATGTAGCTCTAAGGTAAGTGGCTCTGGGTTCAATTTCTGGTACCAAAAAAAAAAAAAAGAATTACTTAATATATAAAAAGGCTTCAAGAGTATTGGAGTGATCCTGAGAAGCTGGGGTGTTGGCATGTACACTCACTAACCTTGTAAGATCAGCCTTACAGGATCTGTGTGGATTAAAACTCACAGCCTAGGAAACCTGTAAATGGTGATATGTCAAATACCTATGTGTAACTGAGACTGAACTTCACATTAGCAAATGCCAAGAAGCTGATGTATTTAAGAGCCAACTGCATACAGGGCCCTGGAGAGGATATGGAGAAAGAAGTTAACTTACTACTCTAACCAGCATTAATAGTCAATATAGCATCCTGACAACTTAAAAATGAAGAGAAGGAAAGTGGGAGGAGCTGATATTTTAAGAGTATATTTCCTCATAATTATCACATCTAATTTTACTATCAGAGTGATAACTTGCCCAAGGTCTCTTGGCTAGATGATGTCAGAGTAGAAATTAGAACTCAGGACAGGCCAAGGCCATTCAGAAATATGAAGAACTAAGTTCCACTCAGTTTATCAAGCACCCATCATGCTCTGGCCCCATGGGTACTAACTGTGAATAAGATAGTGTATGTATTTCTCTAACATCATTTCGGAACTCATTTATTTCTGTAAGTCTTCTTAGTGGGAGCCCAGTGGTTACCTGTTATTTTATGGCCCTTTAATCTAGGAAATTGAGCTCACATACAACCAAATGAAACAGTAATTTAGGAAAACATTTAATTTCTCTTGCTGCTTCTGGGCATAAGAGCCTTCAAATGATATCATGCATTCAGGAGACCCATTCTGGATAGTCTCTCCAAAGATGAACTTCCCACATATTCTCTTGGGTATGGAAAAAGCGACTCATTTAAAAATCAAACTCGTCTGCTTTGTGTTTTCTGTTTCCTCATCCTACTGAAATATAAGCCTATTTCCATACGATGTGCACAGACTGAGGTCTGCTTAACTTTCTTACAATTAAATCAGGCCTGTTTTCTGGCTTTGTTTTTCCTGAAATGTGGGCCCTCACATGAAAATATCTTTCTTTCTTTCTTGTCTCCATTCAGTTTCTTCTTTGTAAATACCTTATTTGTTGGATAAGATTTAACAATATTTTTAGATTTAAATTTTGCTGTGTAGACTCTGGCAACTGCCTCTATAATAAAGAAATGAGTTTTTTTTCCTCACTAAAATGGAGGAAATTAGGATGTTTTAAAACCAGGTATGGATCTTGGCAACTACATGTATCAAAGCATGTGAATCATTTCCATTGATTAACTCAAGAATAACATGTAATTCACCTTTTTCATTTAGAATGTTCTAGAAGTACAATGAGGTTCTTTATGCCCTGGCATCACACCCAAGAAAGTTCTCAGACAGATATGTGAATATATAGTGTGGCTGTGTGTACTGTATAGCCTCTACTGAGGAGGGTGACAGAAAACGCAAACACTTAAAAACTGAAAAACACAAAAGACAGGTAATCACTATCAAGAGACAACCAGAGAAAGCCCACAGTCCCCTGGATATTAAGAGGCAGATTCCACAGGGTTTTCAAGCAGCTGAAGTTAATTTTTCCACAGATGAGAACATGTGGAGAAAGGTAACACTGTGGTGTTCACACTTGTGACTGCCACACCAATTCCTGCCCCTCCAGGCTTCCTGCACATGTTCCCTACAGATAGCCATCAGGAGCCTGATGAATGACACTCGCACTTCTACCTGCCAGGAGAAACTAAAAGCAAATATCACAGTCTGTTACCATCTTTTTGGACATGTTAAGATTCCTTGTCATCAATTACTCTTTGGGTGACCTTTTATAAAAATGTGCAGGTGATGAGTAATCCAATAGACAAAAGCAGTAGACAATTCACCTAAATCCAGATATCAGAGAAAAAAGAGCTTCCAAGCTAATCCTCCACCTTTCCTCACCATCTCTAACAGTAACCTCCAGCTTCTACCTGACTTTTGGAGCAATGTGGAAACCTTGGGATTGTTTTTCTTTTCTTTTCCTTTTTTTCCCCCTTTTTATTGTCTTCTAGGGCTAGTCTTAACAATGACCTGGGAAGGTTCATCCAATTAAAGGAGAGTATATAAACCTAAACCTCAGAGATTATTGAGGATGCAGTAGAGGTAACACAGTTACCTCAACACAAACAATATTATTTCAAACAAGGAAAAATCCCTGAAATTTCCAAAGGAGATGGTATTCACACAGTAAAAGAAACGGTTTCCTTTGAGTTTTTAGCCTAAAAAAAATATTTGTATAGGCTGGAAGGCAAGATAGCTTGAAAGGATACAGGATTTAGTGTTTAATTCCTCAGCTTCTGATAAAATGGCTTAGGTTTTTAKCTCATATTTCCTGATTTTTACTGATAGAATACTCCAAAAACTATTGTTTTGCTTGGTTTCTTGATACCCAAGATAACTGAGGGTTTGATTAAAAAAAAAAAAAACATTCAGGAGAGAAATTTGGGTTTGCTGGGTAAAGAGGAGAGTGGCTGAATTGGTACGCAGGAGATTTAACCTCAATTTTTCCTCTTCATCCAGCTGTCACTCAAAGTAAGCACAGATCAAACGTTAAAACTGACACAGCTTCTCATTATAGGAAGTTGACTGCCAACCCTGCAGGGAGACTATTGAGTAAATCTAGAGATAAGATGGATTGGGAGTTTGCCTAAGTGGTCTCAGGGGAACAGTGAGCCAAGAAGTGACATCACAAGAGGCAAGCAGAACACAGAATAGTGTTCTTCCCAGAGAAGGCTGTTTTTACTTTTGTTTTTGCAGGACTGGGGATTAAACCCAGGGAACTCTACCACTGAGCCACATCTCTAGCCCTT